CATGATGACAACTATTGTCGTATGATCGGCGTCCCCCCAGGTATCTGGCAGTTGGTAAAGTTTTGCCAGCACCAACCCCACATGTGTATACATTGCACGAAGAAAACTGCGGGAACCACGGCCAGTCGCGTGAACAACATGCTCTTGTTTGTCACTGTTTTGAGCCAACCCGATCCCTTCCAGGGCTTCATCCATCCAGGAATTGATACGCGGTATTTTTTGTAACAAAAGCAGTGTACCCTGAGCCCTGAACCGTACACACTACGTCCGATCAAACTCAAACCCATCAACCCTGATCCTTGAATCCTAACCCTTCACCCTAAACCCGAAACCGTGTACCCTAAGCCCTGAACCCTCAACTATCCAGTGTAAGATCCAACCCCAACCCGAAACCGTGTACCCTTTCGACCCCAATTCCTACATCCTTACTGCAGAAACCTAAACGACATGCGTAAAACCCCTAATCCTTCAACCTAATCCCTAAACGGAGGCCCTAAACCGTTGTACTCTGACTCATCAACCGTGCAGCCTATAAAGCCTACACCCTATGCCCAAATACCCTCAGCCTTCAAACCTTTACCCTAGAACCTAAACCCTCACACTTTAGATTCCCTAAATAGGGGAACCCCAATATAGACCCAATATACTAGAACCCTTATTATGGGGACCCCCAAAATGGTATCCCTAGTTTTGGGAACCCCCCCCACCTTGCCGCCATGAGCCCTGGTCCTACGCCACCCCTAGCGATGTCACAAGTGACTTTCCGGTGTCTTGCTGAGACGTGTAGGAAATTCGTGTGTTTGCCAAGTCGCATGTGATCCCCAGGAGAAGTTGCAAGTGACCCCAAGTGGTCCTCAACTCTAGAAGTCGCAACACGTGGTACTTTCCCAAAATTAAGGGTACCTTCTTGGGGGTCCCCATAATAAGCAATATGCTATATTGGGGTCCCCCTATTTCGGGAAACTAACAAGTCACTCCGTGGAGTAGAGCAGGTTGGAGGTGTGACGCCAGGGCCCAATGAGTCTTGGCATTCAGTCCCCCCCCCTCCCGCACACTCTGGGCTTAGGGTTTAGCATTAAGAATTGAAGGTTTGGGTCTGAGATACAGGATTCAGGGTTGAAAGTTTAGCATCTAGAGCGTTGAGGCATTTGGCTGTAGGATTTAGGGCTGAAGGTTTGGGATCTAGAGGGTTGAGGAATTCGGGTGTAGGGTTTAAGGTCTAGCGCCAGGACCCCTATTTGTTTCGGTTTAGAGACGTGCGTGGTTTCTCCCTTGCGTATGGACATACTGAGATTATGAGAGGATTCTAAGGGTCCCGCTTGAGGGTTCGCTTAGCATTACCACTCTACCATGGGTACCTGTGCTAGTACAATTTAGTGCTAGTTCAATTTACGTACTAGTGCTGTTTTTTCTGTTTACATTACAACTTTTGCGATAACCACCATTTCTGTACCTACTAAGTTTTCTGGATCAGAGGGTGGAACCCGGGGGTTTTGGACGCATCACAGGTTTTCGGGTGGGGAAAGGATATCCGATATCCTATGGCCCCGTCTAGTCGCGAAGAAGATAAGATGTGTTTCGTTACTTGCCTACCCAATCGATGTGATGTTCCCGCATATGAACTGTAGCCTAAACTCCTGAAAGGCTGGTTATATAGGGGACTCTATTGGAGACCATTTTTGGGTTTATCAAGGGGGATGCTAGGAGTTCAGACTATAGCTCGCGTGGCCGTGAGAGGCGTGGTGGCATGGCAAATTCTTCCCCTGAAGAGAGGTAGACGAATACCTTGCTCAGCTTCTCATGATCTACACACTCAGTGTCCCACTTGCCCTCGAAAGAACCATGTAGGAGAGATTAGGAGCGGGAGTAGGAGAAGAAGAAGGTTCGTTGCTTCACGCCAGAGCTTCTGTTTTAGGTTGAAAGTTTAGGAGGTTTCAGGGTCCGGAGCTTAGTTGTGGGGCTGTAGCCCAGGACTATTTCCAGTTGCCTATGAATGCCAATGAGCACGCGCCCAACGCTTCTCGTCTACCTCTCTGTGGCTGTTGTAGCGTATAGGGGTCACAACGGGGCGCCCCAGCTGCTTCTTTACGATCACAGAGCGATTTGTTTTAAGAAAGTCAGGGCAGAAGCTTCAAGGGGGTGTTGGCAGGTTGAAGTTGGGTCATGGGATACAGAAATCCTGTCGGCAACATATGAAGTACAAGGTTGAGCTCTTTCTGACGCCTTCCACGAAATGGGGGGGACAATTTCTAGTGCGCCCAACTGTGATTCATATGCTGAGCTTGGGTTTTTTAAAAGGCCCTAGTCCCTGATTCATTGGGTGCAGCTCATTTACGCTACCAACCATCTCTTGCTTCGATATTTCCTTCTCTGATCATGCACAACCCCTGCTCTCCACCCAAAGGAGAGAATTCACCGGATTTGTAAAGCACTCCTGCATTTGTAAAGAAAAGGACGGCCTCTTTTTTCAACAAGGGGCGCTCGCTGTTTTGTTTATAATCTGGTGATGTTTCTGGCGTCAATGGTACAGTATGCAGGAGACAGACCACAGACCACCAGCCTGGCTGGTGATCCTTGGTTACAAAGCCCAGACCCAAGCCCAGACCCTGAAGCCTATGTAAACCCGAAGCCCTAAACCCTAAGCCCTAAACCTTAATCCCTAAGCCCTAAGCCTTAATCCCTAAGCCCTAAACCATCTATCCCCGTGCCCTAAACCCTAAGCCCTAAGCCCTGAACCTTAAACCCTAAGCCCTAAATCCTATACCCAAAGCCCTAAACCCTAGGCCCCAATCGTTAAGGGGTTAGGGAAGCCTTCGTTCATCTTTTCCACCATCAGCTAATGTGGGCCATATATAGTCTAAACTCCTTAAAGGGGGTTCTATAGAGGATGAGATAGGGTTTAGGGTTTAGGGTCTGCACTCCTTAAATGGGGGGCTATATAGAGGATTATATAGGGGTGCTATAAGGGCTATTAAGGGAGATACTTGGAGTTTAGACGCCCCTACCTGTTGGGTCTTAACTAGAGGCCCTTAAGTGGACTTGCAGGCCATAAGATTCGGTTCCAGAAAGAACCTGCGAGATGTTGAGCCGTGCAATGCCCAGAACCCAAAATGAAAAGCCCCTTAATTCCAAAAACGCGAAACCCATCATCCAACCTTGGAGCCCATACCTTTACTTGGGACTATCTCGAAAAGTATAGGATTGTCTTGTACACGCTGGCAGAGCAATCTGTTTTCAGTTATCAAGAAATCTGCTTCGAAAGAAGCCCATAGTTGTGAGCAATTCTTGGCTTCACACCTTAAACCCTAAAGCCTAAAGCATGCGAATCTGTAAGCCCCTGGAACCTGTGCAGGGCCTCCACAAGAAGTGGTGTGACTTCACCATCACAGAGCAAAAGATGGCGGTACCTGAGCTGATACTTTCAGGTTTAGGGTTTAGGGGGTATAAGTCTGCCTCAGACTAACATGGAAGCCCATGTAGGTCCGTTTTGGATGGACACTCTTTGTTGTTATGGTAGCCTGATGGCAAAACTGTAGAAGAAGGCTTGCCCTCGAACCCCGAACGCACACCCCCAAATCACAGACCCGTAACTCCAATTCGTACATTCTTCACGCCAAAACCTCAGATGCTAAACCCTCAACCCCAAATCCCTCCCACACAAAACTGTCCGAGGAGCATAGAGAGTAGAGTTCGTAGGATGCTTGTTTGGTCTACCCTAAACCCTATAGTCCCCCTTAAGTAGATAGAATATGGGGTATATGGGGATGTAAATATAATATACCCAAAGCCATATTCTATCTACTTAAGGGGGACTATAAACCTATGGTAGTATTCAGAGTCGTTCTCAGCTCTCAGGTGCCAGTGGGGCGAGCTAGTCTTCCCCAAGCTAACATGGACCACCATGCTCTCCCCCCAATATGGGCTGTAGTCTAAACTCCATACAGCGGTTTTATAGGGGATGATATAGGGGACTACTTAGGGTTTAGGGAGCCCCCAAAATGGCTTACGAAAGCCACTATCCTGTTATGAGGCGGCTGTTTGTGGTTGCACATTTTTTGGTGGGGGAGGGTAAGCCCAATCCCTCTTGCTTGTTGCGTCCCCAAACTCGTTGCATGCACCGCTTGTCTGTGCTGAAGGTATACCAAGTGGCAACTTGCCTGCAGTGCTGTGCTTAGGGTTATGGGGTCTGGGGCGTGCCTTAGAATTCCAAACTCCTCACCGAAGCCGCCTATGTGGCCAGAAGTTTGGGCAAGATTCTCTTACTGGTTGTTAGTAGGGATTTTGGGAGTGCAATCCCTATACAGCCCTATATAGTGTACTCCCTAATTCCCTACTTACAAATCGTAAGTACTGTTGGCCAAAGGTTGAAAGGCCGTGAACCTGGTATCATGTGTACGCTAGGTTTTGAAGCATCAGTAGTCATACAATTCACCGGGGCTACTTCCGTATATGGTAGTTTCCTAAGATAGGGAGACCCAAATACGGACCCACAAATACTATAATCCTTATTGTAGGGACCCTCCAAAAAGGGGCCCCTGGTTTTGGGACCCCCCCCCATGTTTTGCCAAGAATTACCATATATCTGTATGATACCGATATAATCCCAGTTTCCATTTTGTTTCCCAGTTTCTTTTTCCTTTGATAAGGCCCCAGTACCACTGAGTTAGTTGAAGAAAGACCTTCAAATACTTAGAGACATGGTGCGCGCTCCTATATGAGCTACGCACTAAATTTGTGTTGAGGGGGACCTATACGGGACTATATAGGGTCTTGCGGGGGACCTATTAGGGGATACACCAAAAATTTAGTCCTGGGCTCATATAGCGTGTAACTTGGCTTCCTTTCGGTGAAGAGTTGCTCCAAACTTCACGCAACTCACACGAAAGTCTGCATCCAGCACTTTGGGGCAACTCCTACATCCCACTTTCTTCTCCGAATCCCATAAAATCCTAAGGTCCTAAACCCTGACTTGCCGGTTCTTAGTAGGTAATAAGGGAATAGGCTCTCTATATAGTCCCTATATACATTATATTCCTAACTATATAGTCCCTATATAAGATATATTCCTAACTTTCTAGTCCCTAGATAATTTAGGTTCCTAACTATATAGTCCCTACATCCTAGCTATATAGTCCCTATATGATTTACATTCCTAACTAAGAACCGGTGAGCAAACCCCCAGGCCCGGATGAACAAAATGCGCCAAGAACATGCAGATGCTTGGCTCCTCGCCTTGCATCGAATCCCCTAGGCCTCACTTGGGGTTATCTAGGGATTATGTAGAGTATATATTGGGGTTATATAGGGATTATGTAGGGTATGTATTGGGATTATATAGGGATTATGTAGGGCATATATTGGGGTTATACTGGAATAATGGAAAAGACCTAAACCCTGCTATGAGGCTGAGGGCATATCATCCTAAACCGACATGGACTCCCACGAGGACCCTCAAACATTGCCATGCTGAAAGGGGACTGAATGGCGTTTCATTGTGAGGGTTTGGGGCTTTACGTAGGGTTACAGGGCACTTCCAGCACAGACTGGAGGTTGTTCCAGAGCTTAGGAGGACCCCCACCCTGCAATAGTGACCATTATGGATAATAAGGAATATATATATATATATCAGGGTCCTCTTATATTCCTATTATACCACTATTACAGGGGTCCTCCTAATCCAGAGCGTTCTCCAGCATTCGTGTGTGCGTTTTGCTTGCATGTGCTGCTGCACGCATTATGCATCCCTGTAAGTGGACGGCATTCGTGAGTGGGTTTTGTTGCTTTTGCATTGCTCTTTGAATTTGGCTTTGGGCTTTTCATGTTTTCTTTGGATCTTGCTTATCCAGTCCAGGAGCTAGGGCTTTTTTAAAACCCAACCGTCATCCATCAACCCAAAACCCTACTAATGTAGAAGCCCAACTTACTAGCAATATCCGCCCCCCAATCATCCTGACATAGCTGTAGTGTAGTAAAATGTGCCGCGCCGCCCGATTCCAATTGTTCAGACCCTTGAATTACAATCCCTCAAACCTCATCTCCTCCTTCATTTGCCGCGTCCTTCTCCATTTGGTTCTTCATTCATCTACTCCTTCAGGTCCCTACCATACCCAAAAGCCTTTAGCTGTGTAGAACTCCCCATTACCTTCTTAAAGGGCCATCCCGCAAAAACGCGAACCCTAAACATTAAACCCTAAACCGAACATTCAACAAGGGGTTGGAGCTTGGGATGGATGGCGATGATGTGATGGGTCTAGAGGATTCTGCAAGTAGGGTTTAGGGTCTAAACTCTCTAAAGGGGGTTCTTATAGGGTTTAGGGTTAAGGGTCTAGGGTTTGGGCATTAGGGTTTAGGGTATAGTTCAAATAGGCTAGTACTAGGGATAACTGGGGTAAGATGGCAGGTTCCATAAGTAGGGGGGCCCCAATATGGACCTCCATATGTTGCAATCCTTGTAACAGCGGCTACCAAAAAGAGACCTCGAATTTTCAGAAAGCTTTATATTGGGGTTACTCCACAGTGACCCTCCAGGCAAGGGGTTCCTCAGGCTGTTCGCTTACACTTTCGCTAGAATCTACCAGCGGGGATGTGAATGGGGTTGAGCAAGCTTTAAATTCACAAGTAAAGCAGTGCGGCCTCCAAGGAAGACTCACAAAGTTCTTAGAGCTCAAAAGCTTCCGCATCGGTTTTTGAGTTTTTCTCTGAGCTTTCCTTCATTCTTTGCTTGCATCTTAGCATTTAATTTGCATTTTGATTTGCAGTTTAAGTCGGGCTTTCTTGGGTATCCATGCCCGGGTTCAGGTCCAACCATAAGCCCCAAACCCAAAAAACCCAGCCCAAACTCCACGCCCTAAAACTATTCGCCGTACTACCCTAAAATTGCGCAGAGACCTCGAAGTGCAAGCTTCTCAAAATGGCACTGCCCCCAGGAACCCTTGGCATATATGAGGATGAAGAAAGATATTATAGGGGTCCCCCGAGAACCCCAGCACCAAACCTCAAAGCCCCAAAGCCGCCAAAAACAGAACTTGACTAAGGATGGATCGCGTCGCCGATTATGTTCGGCTCCAGACACTACAGAAGGAGACTGACGCCCTTCCGCCCTCCCAAAGGTGATTCCAATTTGGCGGCCATTTCTACAAATCAGGGCTTTGGGTTTGCGGTTTAAGGAGTACTTTAGGAGTATATAAGGGGACTCGCTCAAAGCAGGTAGGGCTTAAAAAGGGGAAACAACATCTCAGCGGTAAGAGGTCCATCAAGCTAATGATCCAACACGTATTACATGCGCACAATGCAGCAGCAGATTTTTGACCCTAAACCTTAATCTTAAGCATCCCGACATATTCGCAATCCGAAGAGTGTACCTCAAATCGCCATTGTTTCAGGGTTCAGGGTGCAGGAATGTGGTTAAGTCATTATCCACGGGACCCAAAAACGCTAAAATTACAGTATGATTCACCACAACCCACCCCTCCAAGGATGTTTCTTAATCCTGATGTTTAAGGTTCCACTAACTCCAAACTAGAGGTGCGCAGAAGATGCTGTTTGAAAAGAAACTGGAAATTAGTATATGACAATAAGGTATGTATTCGGATAACCGCAAGGAATAAGGGAAGGTATTATATAGGGGTCAACCGACCTGAGCACATGGCAAGCCAGCTCAGTCAGCCACAGTCTGATGTAGGGCTCTACCAGAGTGACAATGGCTTGACTTTCAACATTAGGGTTTAGGGTTTAGGGGTTTAGGGTTTAGGGTTTAGGGTAGGGTTTAGGGTTTAGGGTTTAGGGTTTAGGGTAGGGTTTAGGGTTTAGGGTGTAGGGTATGTGCCAAGACCATGAAGGGCCCGTATGTAACAGCAAACAGCGTGATGAGGTGCTTGCAGATAATGTAGAGTTTTGTCAACCCACAGCACAGACACGGACTCCTAACAGGCATCGCTCAAAACCAGCCCTATACAGTCCACACCCAAAACCCTAAAACCCAATACGGTGGAATCCCCTTGTAGTCCTTGTATATCGCATGGATGCCCAAGGGCATCTCTTTTTGTTTGAGAATCCCGCAAGTCGAGTGAGAAGCCGCTTATCTTCTTCTCCTTCTCTTTGTTTGAGTGGGTTACTGTTGAATTACCAAAAATACCGTGAATCCAAAGGAAGAGAAAATGGGAAACAACATTGAAACTTGGGTTTTCATCCCTTAAGTTCTGAAGGAAATTCAATTAAATCGCCACAAGATGTGTACACATAAGCATATATATATATATATGTATGCAAAATACAAATTGGTTCTTCTTGAGCAGTAATTTGTTTTCCCTAACACTGCGGCAGTTGAAGAGGTCCCTGTGATGGCACCTAGGCGTTGTATAGGAAGGTACATATGTTTGGTGATGGCATGGTGGTTATCGTGGGGCAGGGTTGAATCCTCGCCCATTCTTAGAGAGCCAAAGGGACTAAGCAAGTATCCTAGCAGTTGTTCCAACCCAGAATTGACATTCCACTTCCTCAGGGCCGCCAAACGTCCGAGTACCCACGAACAGGACATCTTCTTCGTAGTGCACCTGCATGCTGGGTTGACTTTTGGACTACTTCAGAGAGAAGTTTCAACTGACTGTTGCAGGCTTCTCTGTTTCGGCCTCGTAGCTACTGAGACTTTCACCGGTCTCTTTAGCCCGACATATCTACGGAAGCTTTTTTTGGGTATCAGCGTGAAACATGCCCAGCCTATATAAATTGAAAAATTTTCTGTTGTAATCCGGCTCCTCCAGTTACATTTCCGTTGTTTCGCTTTAGGCTTCAAGCAATTCTTCTCCAGGTGGTGCATCTGCCTGAAGTGTTAAAGCCCAGTGACCGGACAAACTAAAGCCCCAACATATTCTAAGCCTAAACGCACCATTGCCGTGAAGTCCCTGAGCACCCCCTCTATAACCCCATATAACCAAGCCTCTATAACCAAGATAATCCCATACACATTCCTGAAGGTTCAGGTTTTCGGAAAACTTCAAGCTGGCACGATGAATGAAACGCGGCCGTTAACCCTAAAACCTAAACCAGGATCCCATAGAATGGTAGGATCCTTTCTATAGTAGTTTCCATCTTTCCATTATCCCTATAAAACCCCTGTATGTACCCTATTGTACTATAGTAGTTTCCTATATAACCCCAATATAGGTCCCCGCCAAACCAAGCAGAAGATGTCGAACAAAAAAATCCAGAAAACGGGTACTGCAAAGGCCAACCCAGCAAACATCGGCAACCCTAAACCCTAAACCCTAAATCCTAAACCACAATTGAGGCAAGCCTAAGGAGGACCTCAGGCCCTGAGCCTCAGATAAACTCTAAAGCTCGCACCCGCCCAAAGAGCCCCCCCCCATATTCCCCAAAGGTATTCTGATATAGGTATACGTTATGGTATATCGTAGGGTATTATGGTACATAAAAATATATTATACTATATATTATGGTATTATTGTACTATATTATAGTCTATTATAGTACTCCTCACCCTACACCCTAAACCCTAGGGTGTGAGGATTCAGGGTTCAGAGTCCTCTTGGGGCTACCTCGAGGCAAGTTCGTATGGCGCGGGCTGAGCTGAAAAAGTCCTGCTTTGCTGCGTTTCGCAAAGTTATAGTCTCCCTTGAGTAGATAGAATATAGGGTTTAGGGTTTAGGGTCATAGTCTTCCTTAAGTAGAGAGAATATAGGGTTTATTGTTTAGGGTTATGATTTCCCTTAAGTAGATAGAATATAGGGTTTAGGGTCTAGGGTTACAGTCTCCTTGAAGTAGATAGAATATAGGGTTTAGGGTTTAGGGTTATAGTCTCCCTTAAGTAGATAGAATATAGGGTTCAGGGTTTAGGGGTTTAGTCTCTCCCTTAGGTAGATAGAATATGGAATTGCCCAATGTCATAATATGATCCCCATATATACCATATTTTATTTACTTAAGGGGGACTAGAACGCTTAGGGTCTCTTTTTTTCAAGGTTTGCCGATGTTATGTGCTTGTGGGGGAGTTTGCAAACGTGGCTCCTGCCTCTGCTGTTCCTTACACGAGACTCCCCATTTTCGCGGTGCAATTGTTTCAAGGTCTGCATATTGGACAAGCTACCAATGTAGGTGGTGTTCAATGGGAGGAGGAATTGCAAACTTGGAAGGCACTTGCACCGACCGACCTGTGCGGATGTTTTTCTACTGGAGCTTGCTGGAGCTGTAACATTGTGCAGAAGACGACTTAACTGATAGGTCTTGAAAGCATCCCCAAAAACAGGCATAATTTGATCTGAGGCTGGGTGTCTATAGCCGAAAACAGATGATGTCTCGCCAAGAGCTTCACATGCGCAGCCTCCTGCAAGAGCTAGCTGCTGGTTTGTAGGGAGGAACCCTGAATCAACCCATAAAACCCCCAAACCCTGGACCTCATAGAATACCCTAAGCCCCAATCCCTGGACCACTATACCACCACCGCCCGACCCTAAACCCTAAACCCTAAACCCTAAACCCTAAACCCTAAAACCCTAAACCCTCGCCCCTAAGCCCTAAACCAACCCTATATCCCCCAACTCCGAGGATGGGGCCTGGAAGTTGGTCGATGTCGTCGGCTCCCACACCGATCCTCCCACAGGCCGCAGGGGTGTTTAGGATGGGGGGTATAGGGGCGTTCCAACATTAGGTCCCTCTAAAGGGGATGTATGGGGTTTAGGGTTTAGGGTTTAGGGTGGGTGAGCAGTCCTAAGTCCTGAGCCCCTGAAGCCGAATCTTTGAGTGTAGTATTTGGGATCTGGCGTGATGACCAGGGTCTTTGTTGAGGATGCTGCATGGTGGCTTCCAAGAAAATGCTCCTGTGTAAAATCCTCGGGACCTATGCGGGTTACAGGGAAGTTCCCTTTAGGGACTGAAGGAGGAACACTCTCAGAAGCGCAGAATTGGGTGATTCTCAACATGGCGGTTCTATTTATACATTCAAAACTCATCATCCCAAATCTAGCGGCCCTGGAAAGCTTAGTCCCCATTCAGGAATGGAAAGAACAAGGCATCCCTTTTGCCGTAAAATCAGGAGCCCCTACCCCAGAAGTACAAAGGGTCCCTAAGGTGTAGTTACCTAGGCCAGTCGAGCTAGGTTGATCACTAAACCCTAACCCCAAACTGTAAACCCTGGACCCTCTCCTGTGCTTTTCCGCAAGGATGCGGGAAACATTCACATTACAGCAACCAGGCTGGACTTAAAAGCTCACTTGGCATCCGTCCTGAATCCCATCTGGAAAAGAGCCTCTTCTGGGTAAACTGCGGGTTTGAATCATATTTTCTTTCAAAGAATCCCTAGGCCCTAGGCCACAAACTCGAAACCCTGCACTCTGATCCTTTTACATTCTTGGACAGCAGGCAGTTGAGCTCTTGGGCACCAGGACCTTAGACTCGCCAACCCCAACTTAAGTTGGAACCTCCCAAGCCTGAAAGGTGTGTTGGTATAAGATATCAAGGGTCATGCAGGATTCTTAGTCCCCAAACCCTTAAACCCTACATAAACCCTATATAACCCCTAATTTGGGGAAACCCCCTTAGAATGACAGTTATAGTTTAGTCTATATGAGATTCCAAAACGTGTGGGTTCTTTTTGCGGGTCCTTGTATATTTCGGGGTTTGGAGCCCCATATATGTTTCCCGGTGGCCAAGCTCTTCGAAGCTTAGCATAAGGAGCCGAAGCCACAGCAGAATAGTAGCTGGGTGGAAGTAAGCAACGCGCAGCGCCGCAAATCCCAAACCCACAGCAGCATATCTTGCGTGACCGTAAACGTACTGATCTCCAATGGATTCGGAGTAAGTGAGTTTACCTTTTTGGCTTTGAAGGGCTGGAAAGCAAGAGTTAGAAAGACGATGAACAACCGCTCAGCTCCACCAGTCAAGGGGCACAAGGTTGTACAGGACTATCTCCAGCAACAGCAGCATCACAAATTCTAAGCGTTGAGCCAATTCAACCGCAATCCTGCATCCTTCGCTGCGGCAACTCAGTATCTAGTTGCTCGCATGCGCCGGCACCTGCAGCATCATGTAGCTTAAGCACTGTACGCGAAAGCCTAACCGGTCTACCTTTACTCTTAAACCCTAAGCCCTAAAACCC